ATAAATGCAATATGAATGGAAAATTCAATGCAAAGTTTCCACATGGATAGTGCCAGAGTGCATCTTTGTGTGTCTGTGTGTGTGTAGGGGGGAGAAAGAGCGAGCAGAAGAAGCCGTCTTGGCCAGGGGGTTACTTCCCCATGTCAGCTCTCATTTTATGATGTTACGTTGCAGAGGGGAAGTGGAACATGGCACATACAGGGGGAACACACCGTTGAATTTGAGCATGGTAGGTGGTGATGATGCGAAAGGGGGTGGTGGGTCTGTCACGCTAAGGGGCTCAGACAGGAACAGCTCTGGCCTGCTATTTGACACTCACCACTATGGCTCAGGCTGCCAGATTCTGGAAAAAACACGATTGGGGGATCAGGATTCGACAGCTAGGAAGTCCCTTGGTATAGTATTTATATCCTTTAAACTCTTATTTAATTTGTCATATGATAAAAAAAAAAATTCAGAGTGGGTTTTAAGAGGTAATCCAACACCAATTTATGGATCATTTTAAAGTAGATGGTTAATAGAACATGTTTTTTCTGTGGTAATTTATATTCAGCTGACTCAGAACAATACACTGTAGTTGGAGATGGTAATATCTGACTGCTACTAGCTTCACAAACTAAAGACTGACAATTTTGCCCATTTTTCTTTTAAAAATAGCTTAAGCTCAGTCAGATTGGGTTTACTGAGGTCTTCACATTGACTCTTTACAAATACATTTTTCTTGATCATTTCAGTGTAGATGACTCTAATTACACTACCTTTTTATTTTGCCACACATATTTCATATTGACATAACAAAAGTTTGGTGTTTTATTATTCCACGTTCGGTTTGTCAACTAAGTGGCCTTTTAAGAAATAACCTTCATTTCTTAAGGCTTTCTTTCAAAGCAAGATCCCCCCCTCATTATAAATAAAAAACAAAGACCAAATAGGTGGGATGCATAACAGTTGTCTAATAGTGATATTCTCCCACCTGAGCTTCTCTCTGTAGGACAGAGGCCCTAGAGGACCAACTTTGGACTCCCAGGTTAAACTCTCTGGTTGGGAGTGCAAAGTTGACCCTTTAGGGCCTCTGTCCTACAGGTTTGCAATGTTTCTCTGCTTAAGCAAAACTTGCAGGACAGCAGCCCTTGAGGACTGACTTTGGACGTGTGTGATGTAGTTGGACATCAGGTCTTGGTAGGTTTGAAGTTCAGATAATAGATTTAACAGCTTGAGATGCTGTTTTATGGTCTAGCTCTATTTTAAACTTCCCCAAAATAGCCTCCCTGTTCTTCACAGAGCAACTGGATTTATAGTGAGATTAAATTACACAGGAATGCACTATTTAAGAAAGCCACTTCTGCATACAATTGGTTGTGCTGTATCATAATAAACATGACAAAACATTACTGCTGTATAAGTTTTTAAAGCAATGTTTGAAGTGTACTCCACTTTTCTCATAATTCAACACAGTTTTATTTTTTTCCTCAAAAGACAAACAACACTTGGATTCATCGCATTTAATCATCCAGTATAAAATATTAAGCAAATCAATGATTTCTTCCTCCTTCTTGTTGCTCTTTAGTGTAGGAAGAGAGATTTTAGTTGGAGATATTGATTTAAAAGAGCTCATTTTTTAATTCCCCTGATTATTTTCCTGCAATGCCACTGGTTTTGACAGCATTTTCCCTTAGCCTTTGACACTGGGAAAGATAAAGTAGTGGGAATACCAAGGTCCCAAATATGTTGCTTTTATAAGGACGAGCTGTCCCATTCATCATGCGCTCTAACATCCAGCGCTCAGTGGAAGCCCTGTACATAGGTCAGCACAGGACAGGTAGCTTTGGCTCTGCCAGATAATGAAGTGAAGATGAACCCCTCACTGAAAAATATTGAAAAATAAGTTAAAGAACCTAAATAAAATAGGGACATAAATGTTCAATGGGAAGTTTTTGCTTTCCACCATAAATAAACTCAAAATGTGGTTTTATATTTGGAAGTTTTTACATGATTTCATGATGGTTTTGTGTTGTTTTCTCTGTCCAATTTTGTGGCAGAGGACACGATTGTTGACTAAAGGTTGGTATTGTCACACTTGACCACAAAAACTGGTGCTGTAGTATGCTGTAGTGCTCTTTATCATTCTCTGATAAAGACATTTACATGATGGTATAAAATGTGTAGGGTTTCTTTGCAATAAAGAGTAAAATTATTCACCCCTCTTGGCGTTTTTCATGTTTGATCCTCACGACCAGACATTTCTATTCCGAATGGATTGTTTGAACCATCTATTTTACGGAACATGCCTACAATTTTTACAGTGTATTTTAATTATGAAAATTAATCCATTGTGAAATAACAAATACAATAAAATAATGGAAAACATTTCGCGTGCAATACCTATCCAAATGCAAAAGTTTGAAGTGCCTCCCTTTACAGCATTTTCAGCTGCATGGGTCTGCAGTTGAGTCTTTGTGAACTTGTCAAATCTTTCAACTTGCATTGTTGCCCTGTCATCCAGGCAAAATAGCTCATACTTCATCTAGGATGGTTTTCACTTGTGAACAGAGATCCACAGTCCTAGGTATTGACCTTGAGCAGGACATTCCAACAGATTTAAATGTTTTCTCTTAAACCAGTACCATGTTGCTTTAGCAGTACACTGTGGATCACTGCCCATCTGGAAGAAGACGCTGTCCTGGTCGTAAATCAGATTTAAGGAGATATTGCTCAAAAATACCCCCATATTTAGGACAATCCATGTGTGTTTTATAGTCCTTATTGGTTGAAAACATCACAACAGTATGATGCTGTCACCACCAATTCACTCTGTGTAAATGTTTTTTTAGTTAGGATGTATTAGGTTTGTGCTAGACATAGATTTTCCTTGGGTACCAAAGAAATTCAGTCTTGCAGTGTGCTGCTTTGGTTAATCTGAACAGAGCACCTTCTTTCTTACATTTGGGGAGTCGCAAATAAGCCTTTATCAAACTAGAGACATGGCTTCTTATTTTAGTACAAATTAATGCAAAATTTTAGGACGTTAGGACAATTTTCTGTCCACTCTTCCAACAAGCCCAGCTTTGTGAAGTGTAAACTTTATTCTGGCCATATGGACAGATAATCAGATCTCTGCTGCTGAACTATGTAACTTTTCGAAGTTTACATGTGGTCTCTGTGCAGTCTCTGGTGATTGCCCTTCTTGACTAGTATGAGTTTTGGTTGGTCTTCATATGTTTTGCATATTGTTTGTGGTACCATGTAATTTTATTTTTTGTAACCCCTAATAGACTCAAGGTTTCAAAACTTTTTTGGAATAACTCCTTGGTGTTGGGAGTGTTTCAGTAATAAGCCCTTTCAGGTGTATTTATGCTGGAAAATCATGTGACACTTAGAAAAGTCATTGGTTACAATTCAATCTTTTATGAGATCCATAGTGAATGTAATTGAATATCTGTGCCCACTACAGTTTTCAGTATGTTTTTATAAGTATTCTTTACATTTAACATAAAATATATATAGCAGATTTATTAGGTAAAATAAGAATAACAAACATTTAGATTAGTTTGGAATGTGACAAAAGCTGTGAAAACCTTTGGGAACACCTTGGATGTTTTTGCTCTCTTATACAGTATTATCATTGCATTTTTAGCCAGGTGTGAAGGGTTATGAAAACCTTGAGAAAAAAACATCAAACAGAAATTGTATCTTACCCATCTTTAGCTGAACAAATAACCCAACATGTTTACTAGGCTTAGCCAGTTTTAGGGATAATATTCAGAATTCAGAAACTAAATTAAACAACAGCTAAATTACTTAGTAGTCTGAAAGTAAAACATTTTATTAATTCCCACCTTCCTGTGCAGTGAATGGTATTTGTAAGTGTGGCTTAATTGGAAGAATAGTTGGCTTTCATGGCTGGGGGTTCAGTTCAAACTTCTTTCTGCCACATGCCATTGTGCTTTAGAGCAAGGCACGTAATCTCAGACTGCTGCTGATCTTCTGTTTGAAAATGTACATATTGGGATGTATAGTTTGTTGAATGTGGCTCTAATTTTTAAGTGGTTAATATTAATAAAAAGGTTCAAAGAAACCACTTACATCTTGATTTGATATTATGAGTAATGAAGTATTATTATAATCTATAGCCATAGATCAGCTGGCAGAAATTAGTTGTGATGCAACTGAAGCATCGCCCACACATGTATGATCTTTCTTTAAATTGAGTAAATTTGCTCCAATAAGGAGCCTCTCTTTGACAAACTACTGTATCTATTAATGTTTATATAATCTGTTTCCTGTCACTTGCATCTGGTAGAAGTACCCTAACTGCACTATGAAATATTTTTACTTTACTTTCTGTGTTAAATGTTGTTTGAGGGTCTTACAACATTTTCTCATGACCTTTGGCCTTTTTAACAAGTTGATTAAAATATTTTTTTTCACCACCATATAAGGTTATTTTTGGTTTTCATGTTGGGTTTCGGCCTGCACAGTGGGGCAGTGTGTAGTACTGCTGCCTTGCAGCAAGAAGGTTCCGGATTTGATTCCCAGCCCGGGGTCTACTTGCATGGAGTTTGCATGTCTCCCTGTGCAGGCGTGGGTTCTCTCCAGGTACTCTGGCTTCCTCCCACAGTCTGTTAAATTAATTGGCTTCTCTAAATTATCCGTAGTTGTGTGTTTTTCTCTGTTTTGCCCTGCGATGGACTGGCAACCTTTCCAATGTGTACCCCGCCTCTCGCCCCTAAAAAGATGGAGCTTGGCACCAACACCCCTTGTGACCCTGCTTGGGATTAGCGTGACGGAAAATGGATGGATGGATCAACGTTAGGTTTCTTTCTCCAAGCACTAGATATTCATGTTCAACAGAACTTTAAAAAGAACTGTTGCTCAGTATAAAAAAAACAAAACAGAGACACTGTTGTTTTCAAAAATCAGTTTATGTAACAAAGTGGTTATAATTTAGTACCATTCTCCATTCAATAATCTATGGAAGGACAGTCTTCATAACCATTTTGTTTTTTTTTACCCCGTGTTGCTAAGCATACAAATAACCTTAAAATGTTAAAAATATAAATGTATCTTAAGACAGTTTAACATACTGGGTGACAGATAAAAAGAAGGCAGGCAGGGATATGGTGGCTTACACATCATGGTCAGACAGGGTTTGTCAACAAAAATAAGCTTAGCATGTTTATTCAGCCCCAGCAGAACTTCATCAAAATAGGAAGAAGTGGATATGTAGCAACTGGCAACTGTTTACCAGACATGCTGTGCAAATAGTTCACTCTGTTAGTTGTAAAGTTGCTTTTACAAATCTTGGAACAAATCTTTCTTTTGTCTGAGCAGAATATCTTGTAAAGTGCGTGGACAGTGAATGATACGTCTGAAAAATGTACCCTAAGCACGGAAGAAAGGGCACCTTTGCACTTCATACCCCTGCCTCCTTGCTTGCATGATTTACATGAGCACACAGTGACTTGTAAAAAATATTCTGCCCCTTGAACTTCTCTACAGTTTATCACCTTAGAACAAACATAATATAACAAGCATGTTATAATGATTAACATGATTGACCAACACAAAGTAGTTGTGCAAAAGCTGATACATTACTTTAAGCTTCAATTTTAACTAGTGTTGCGCCAATGCCATTTTTGTCCGCGATACCGATACCAGATACCTAGCTGTGCAGTATTGGCCGATACCATACCGATGCCATGTGTTTGAAATTGATGTGTGTGTATATACGAAGAACTGTGTACTACTTGGATATAAAATAATTGCCATTATGGCTTTGTCAAGCTGCTGCCTACCTTTGTGAAGCAGGTAAAAGACTATTAAAAAAGTGAATCCAGTAGAACTTTTTATTGCCTACCTGGAATGGGTGACAATAGTTGAATAAACTTTTGGCTCTCAAAATGGTATCAGTGCCGTATTTGTTGGTACTCGCTGATACAGATACCAACATTTTAGAGCTGGATCAGGGCCCTGCCCGATACTGGTATCGGTATCAGTTCAACACTAGTTTTAACTCTATTTCAGCTCCTATGTTTTACTCTCGGACTGAATTGAATTTATATCTACACACCTCCCTATCAACTCTGAGTAAAACCGTCCACAAAGTATGATGCTACCACTATGGTTGAAGATAATGATGGTGTGTTTAGGACCTCTCTGGTGTGTTATCTACTAATTAGGGGACTTCTTAAAGGCACACCGCAGACTTTGTGACCTAAAATGTTAATACATATGAATTATTTAAAGTGATTCCTCAGGCCAATATACAGTGCTTGACACTGTCAATGTTATGAGCAGGGCTCCCCTCTTGAAAGACCACAGATGTAAGTTCATAGAATATACTCCGTCGTTGGCCAGGTCATGTGACCTGGAAGTATGTATCTCTTTACTGCCACAGGCTCTTCTATAGTCACGGAGCTAAGGCTTTTCTCTATTATTTTTTTGCCTGCTCGACTACTGGTCATGGCTGAGGCAAGGAAAAATCTTTGTTATCATTTTCTATGTTTAGCAGAATACGGGCAGAGAGAGCAGGATACAAACAGTAGCGAGCTGAGATGGATGTAGCTCTTTACTGGAGCTCTGCCACTCGTCCTCCGTGCTGGTTCGGCCTGCCCGGGCAGTGCCATCCGGGGAGCAGCAGCATTCTCACGCCCTCCAAGCCTCAATCAAAAGACACTGGAGGCGGGACGGCTGAATGTTTGTTGACTTTTATGACAGTGCTGCGGCGCTTTTGACCATTAGGGGTGCTAGACGTGAAACGTATGGGTCTAACGCTGCTAGTGGCCAAAAGTAACAAGGTGTGCCTTTAAGTTAATTTGTTGCAAGGAATTTTTTTTTTTTAGGGGCGTTAAATAAAGTTATTTTTTTTTTATTTCTAAAATAGAAAATTCACATGCACTCATTTGTGTTGGTTAATCAAAAAATCCAATAAAGAACACTGAATACTGTAGTTTTAAAAGGGAATAATCTGAATGTGTAGGAATAGTTAAGGGCACAGTAGTTTACATCATCAGCTGAGGTTTGTTAGTAAGAAGCATATAGATGGCGGAATGATTGGCTGTTTTTCACATGTCTATGTTTTGTTGACCTAAAAGTCTCTTGCTATTACTTCCTATAAAACACACAATTTTCATTTGACACAATGGGATGAGGAGAGAACAATCACTATGATAATGTGGGTTTTGTTCTTTGTACAAGTCTTCTAATCAGAAGTTCGTAATTCTACTCTCCTGCATGTCAAATTTTCCTTTTCTCTTTGAGGCTTCTGATTTTTCAACCTGTATTGTTGCAGCAAATGTCTACAATTCCTATTTACTACTTGCTTGAAAAAAAAAAAATTTTTTAGATGATAAATACATAACTTATGATCACAATAAGTCCTCTACTTAAAAAAACTGGTCATCAATATCGACCAAAATAAGATTTTTTTTAAGATGTTTGTACACTTGAAGGGTTAATTAAGCTGTAAGTCTTTTTTTTTATTTTTATTGAATAATCCAAATGTGGCTTGTTTAGGCAGGTAAATACCTCATATCATAGCAGACCTGTGTTTTGCTGGAGGACTGTGATTTAAAAAACTGGTGTCATTCAAAGCTTAAAATTGCGCAGATGTGGTGTTTTGAAGAACAAAGGGGGAGAAGCGATTACAGAGAGGAAATCACTTTTTTGACAATGCATCTTTATCACTGCTGTGTACAACACGCCCTCAAAACTGCCACCAACGCAGAGTCCCTTATCCAGAAAACTCATTCTCGAGGCTTTCACTCTGTGACGGCTTTAACCTGATATTCAGCCGAGAGTTATTGTCTTCTTAAATATGCAGACTTCTCGAAGCGTTGTGGGCGCGCACCTCGAACCGAGATGATGTGTAAAATTGCATTTTTTTTTGTTGCATGCAGGCAAAAGGGAGGGGAGGCTCCATGAAACAGGCGCATCACAAGCAGCCCTGGCAGATTGTTTAAATGAAAAATCTTCATCTATTCAGCGCAGGAGTCAAGCCCACTGAATCCTATTTTCCCTGGGTTCCTGTTTGGATTACTGAGGTGGCATGAGGCGTGCAGACACACAAAGCCCAAAGCAAAGTTATGCTGCTTCTAAAGTAACTTGTGTCATGGTAAAAGGGTCACTTATGTCATTAGTGCTTGGGAACTGGAAGGTGTCTGGAGACCTGCTTGCTAAGACAAGCATCATCCAGCCTGCTGTGGCCCTCAGTCTGTAATTCTGGTCATGCCCCATCTCCATGTAGATTTAATGGTTGTTTTTAGTAGCATCTGCTTACAGTCTAGTGAAGTGAAGAGGGACAAAGCCACCCTTAGCATGAATATATAAATAAATAGTTTACATTAAAAAGTAAAAGTGGGTCCTTGCAGTGAAATCAACCAGTGATAAGACGCTGGCTCCAAGATTAAAGCTTTTATGGTGTCACAGATCACTTAGAAGTAGCAATAAGCTGATGGATTTTTGGAAGGCATCAATCTAATAATTCTTAATTCTTTTAAAGAGTAATAAATTGAACAAATATTTCTCAGAAAGAGAACAAAGTAAGACTAGTGTGTGATTCTCTAGACCAGAGGTTTCCAAACTTTCCATCTTCTGGCCCACATAATGGTAACAGAGTTCATTTATGATCCAACTCCGGGTTAAGTACACACAAATTTAAACAAAATCCGTTAACTTCAGATGTAATATTAGAAACAGCATCAACAACCAACGCAGTAGGTTTGTCTGTTTTTCAGTGTTAGAATAGATGTTTATGGTTTAGTTTAATTTCTGTGGTGCCTCTCAGTTCCCAAAACAACAATAACATTTATTTTATGCTTTAAGAAATAGCAGAAGGTTGACAGGATAGACTGTTAATTTTTAAAACAAAAATCTAATATAACTAGAAGTTTTCTTCCTGACAAAGAAATACCCAGGGTAATGTATGAATGTACCTATGCCAGGGCTGGATGTGGTGCATTGATGCAGACTACCCAGAGCTTACTGTTCCGAGGCTCAAACTCAGGCTTAAATTTGTTCATACTTAGGACAATAATGTTGTTTTAACATTACTGAACAATAAAAAATGAATAAAATGCAACAAATTAAACCTGTGAAAAACTATCTATTTGAAATCTTTACAGGAGCCTTTCTTTCTTTACGTTTGTGTTGCAACACAAAAGGAGTGAGATAAGCCGGAGTTAAAAAGTTTTGCAGTTAAACAGGATTTCAGTATTATTTAAAGAAAGAAATGCATAAGTCCTATAATCTGTTGATATACCTTGTAGAAAATGAAATTTCCTTTAACATTTCTTGCACCTTCTTTTCACTTCATTATAAAACACAGCAAGTTTTAGTGAGAATGGCAAACTCTGAGTCTTCTTCATTAAGTAACAACTTCTAAAAGGAAAACTGTTGTTCTCAGCATGATCTGCTAATTTGTAGAAGAATCTGCGTCTCTAATCAGCCGTGTAGTTAGACAATTAGAATTTTGCAGAACCTGCTGGATTATCCAACCTTGCTAAATCCTAAAACAATTATTGTTTTCATAAAGCTTATTTTACATAAGCTCGATGTTTTTATGTGACATTAGGCTTATACCATATTAGACTGTGTTGGTTTTCAAAATGTGCCTTAAAAATGGTGTAAAAACTTTAGTACATGGAGGTCTGCCTTGCTGAAACCCTGCATGACCTGAAGAAAGGTTCAAATGTTCATGGTTGATCCCAGGCAGCTGGGTGTATTTAAAAATGTCAGCTTCTAATTGTAACAGCCACAGCAACCTCAGGAAACAAATCAGCACCTGAAGGGTAAAGGTGAGATTATGCAACACAACACAAAATCTCATCAGTTAAAATGTCTTGCATTTTAAAAGTCCATGAGTTACCTGCTCTTTGATACTGGTGCAGAAAGCCGCCAGCTCTTGTGGCTTTGTTAGAGAGATAAAATGTGATTATTATTGAACAGATTACCTTAAATATGACAGGGAAATAATATTTCACTGCCCTCCTCTTCATTAAGACCCATTGATGTGTCCTCCATTTTTGTGACAGCTGTCCATAGTGTTCCAGACAAGCATGCTGGATACAGTAGTCCCTCTTGGCAGAATGTCCCTCTGTAGCAGACTGCGATATATTTGCCTGTTTCCTGTCTGCATTTTGAGTTAACTGAAGCATTTGGATTAAAATATAGGTTTAAACATGGAAGGAAACAGCTTTTTAAACAATTTCCAAATCAAAAAGAAACATTTTAAGCAGTAAAAAAAAAAAAAAAAAGAATAAATATGTAGGGAGTCAAATAAAATCTAAATGTCCAGTTGTTTCTTTCTGTAGGCAGTTTTCCATACTTGGTGCTCTGGTAGCAACAGTGAGGGGCGGTGTGTCCCTCCCAATGTCTTCCCTATCGCCTTGTCCTCATCGCAGTCCTCTTTGGCACTTATCTAAGGTCTTGTAGTAGACACGGGTAATCATCGAGCTTGGTGATTTGGGTTGTGGCGTGAGCGAGACCTTTCGAGGACTGCACGGCGGTTGTCTGTTCAAGAAGAGAAAGGGGGAAAAAGTAGGTGAGACTGGGAAAGAACAACAAAGTGCTACATTGATCCATCTTTGGCAGAAAAGCTGAACTAAATGAAAGGCTTAGGAGAAACTAAAAGAGGGAAGGAACAGTTAGGGGAGGAGAAACAAGGCTGACTGAGAGCGAAGAAGGATGGGAGGAAGAAGAGACACTAGAAGCTGAAGGAGTGGAGGTGCCTGTTTGGTGTCATAGTAACTCCATTCATATCCTAAACATAGTTTTTTATAAAGAGACCCTACAGGAAGTGTTCTCACATCAGATACAACATAAACAGAGCAAATAAAGGAAACACACAGAGACATACAACCAACCAGAGCAAGGATGAATAGCCTGTCACATTTTCTACATGTAGTTTGCTTCCCATTAGCTTGGGCTTGTAATTAGTGTCAGCATGCACCTATCAAATCTAAGATGTAGAGCTGCACTGTGTTGATCCTCCCACCTGTCCTCAGAATTTTCCAAAGGTGCAACAGGCATCTGATCATTGTCAGAGCTGTTTGTGGGGAAGTTCCTGCCTTTCAGGCATGCAGAGCAACAAATTGTTCTAATCATAGTGAACGGGAAATGTTTGGGACGTTTGAAAAAAACCCAGCTCTGAGGCTCCCTTTGGAAAAAAAAGTTTTCTCTAAACATTATTTGAATTGAGGCTGCTCTTGCAGGCACCTTTACCACTGATTTGCAAAATAGATACCATGGATGTCTTAAATTTTTTCAACTTACAACCACAAACAACACTATTAAATTTGAAATCAATTATACAGACAAGCACAAAGTAGTCCTCAAAGAATACATTTTTCCAACTCAAAAAACCCAAAGGTGTATGTATGTATTATGTTTAACCCTTATGTGAACTTAATACTTAAGGGTTAAACATATAAACAACCCGGGGTAAACCACTTTATTAAAGCTACACAGTCTTTTTTGGTAAGACTTGCAAATCTAGGGACTGATGTTTTTGCACATCCTTCTGTGGAGAGACAATTGAGAGACATGTATGCTTCAAATCAGTTCATGGATGCGCTGTCTGCATGTTTAGCTTGTTCACCTGCTTGAAAATGAATTTCTGCCCCAGTCCAATGACTTCAACATCATTTCCTTAATAAGGCTTCCTTGTCGGCTGAGGAAAAATCTCTTAAGTATGATGCTGCAACAGTTTGTATGTGGGAAAAAATGTAGATATAGGCCTAGATAAAATTACTCACAAGGGGACTTAAGTTTCTAATTATGGAAACTGCTCTCAGCATAAAGGAAGCCACTTTTCTCCCCTCTCTCAACCTCCCTTATCTATCATGTTTTACTGCTTGTTTTTGAGAGCCTTTCTTTGCATATCTTCCAAAAACTAGAAATTATGGATCTGGGCAGCTGGTCTCTTAACGCTATTGATCAAATTTTTTCCATGAGGAGACTGGGCAAAGCATAGCATCTTTATCTCTGGGAGAAGCTCTGGTCTGTTTCATGGACTTATTCTCCTATGAAAACATGTACTACCAAAGTCTCCCATGGCTAAAGAGACATGTGCTCTCAAGTTCCCCATTTTGCTTGCCTCATCCTCACATTTCCCTACCTGTACCCCTTTATCTCCATCCTCCCTTCACTTCTTCCTAACTCTGTCCCTCCCCCGTTCCCATGTGTACCATGCAGGGATTTTTGCAACCTCATATTGTGCTCTGCAAGGTAATGTTATGGTATTTCATTTCTTGTTTTTATGGACCCCCTAGTATTATCTTTCTAATGCGAGAACAGCACATTTAAATGGTTGCAGCCTCAGGCACATGTCCCTCATATACTGTATTCTGTTGAACTGTGTTTCTTCAATGGGTTTTTCTTAACCAAATTTCATGACAAATTAACACATAACATAACAATCTTATTCTGATTTGACTTTTATTCATTGGATGCACTGGGTTTTATTTATGATATCAGATTTAAGGTATTTACTTTTGAGAAAAAAAAAAAAAACAGGTATCCTTTGTGTTGGTTTGTCAAACAAATGCTAACATTTAAGTATGTGGTTTCAACATCACAATGTGAAAAGGTTAAATGGTTTAGCAGGCATTGTAGGCAAAAACAATATTTCCCTTGGGGTCAGAAATAAGCAGCAGTTGTACTTTTGGTATTTTCTGTTGCCATGTTCATGACAAAGTCATAAAATCTTTTCCACCTTTGCTATCCAACCACAGCTGCCCAGAAATGCCCATGACATCCTTCGGGCAGCCAGGTGGCAGGTGGATTTGGATGGAGCCAAAAAGTCGAGCTACAGAGATGACTGCAGGCACACCCACACAGGACTCTTGGTATTTCCGAGTGTGGTGTTGCCAACATGTCTATTACTCAGTGCTCTGCTGTAAGGTGCCAGGCTTCCGAGGCTGGGCGTTGTTTAATGGTGCTTGTTCCATCCATCATGTCAGGTAATGAGCTGAGAATGAAAACGGTGGCTAGGAGACATGCACAAACCTGTGTGCGCAAACAAGATCCTACATTCACAGTAGAGAACAGCAAGTGCTCCCTTCTTTGGGGTTGGATACAAAGCATCATGCAGATGGTGCACAGGAGGAGAGAGGGAAGAGGGAGGGAACAGAAGGAACAACAGGAAGACAGTTCAAGATGTAAGACAATTGAATAAAGGTTCTTTATTCTCTCTGCTTCTTCTAGCCGATGCATGTTTATATGCTGAATGCTATCATGAGAGCTAACATGTTCTGGCAGAGTGTCCAAACACGTCATAACTACTTATCCATGCACTCATTGTATTCTGTCCACAGGTTACACTACACTCTGTGAGCACGACTTACGAAGCTTACTTCCTTTCAAACCAAGCATACATAGCATTCAAAATGATTTGAAGGGGAAAATTGGGACAGTTTGAAAGAAAAAAACATGAAAGTAGATCATCCACAATTTATCCCCGCCAATCATTTGCAAGTCCAACTGCTCTAGCCTCATTTCTGGACTTACAGTCACCTTTAACCCATCAGAGAAGCTTGGAAAACAGAGCCTCTGTCTCTGGAGGGTGTTTAGCTTGTACCACATTTAATTCAGTAAACGGGATGGGGAGGGGTTTAGAAGATGAACTGGGAAATCTAAAATTAAATAAAGGCAGAAACTGGATTGAAATGGAATGCTGGCCATTTTAATCCCTTTGGCATTTTCTACCTTGGTAGTTTTGGCTTTATCTGGGTCACTAATCTCTCATTGTTTATTTGAGTTGACCCTAATGGGGATGAGACCTGTAATTAATGTAAACACAGTGACCAGGGGCTCCAGCTTCCCAAGGACCACAACATTTCAGCTTCTTTTTTTTTAATCAGCTTTTATCTCCCCCACAAATTGAGATAATGTCTTGCATTTAAATTTGGTAAGAACTGTGTGTTTTAAGTATTAGACTTCAAGTAAAACACATTTATCCTAATAAATACCCAACATGAATAGTAGAATGATAAAAAAAAAAAAAAAGTATTAGAGAAGGGAAAAGGCAGTGAGTCTATTTAACACATTCGGTTTGTATGTGGGCTTTGTTATTTTAAAAGGTGTTCATTTTACATGCTGTGTAAGCTGAGAACCATTGACCATTAGAATGACCGCTCGCTGAAGCTGTTCAGAAGGACTTTGCTGTAAGCAGCGGTGGACGATTGACAAGTGCCCTTTTGGGGTTTTGAATGCTCTTGCCTAACTGCCTAAATGTACTGGAAAGCTTTTGTAAAAGACAAGGAAGAAAAATCTCCAGAAAAATACCTCTCCATCAGAGGAGTCTTGAAATGAGAGCTTTTAGCTTCTCATAAAGACTTTTCTGTTCCTTTCTACAGGTGCATACAAGCCCATCTTTTCTCACCCCGAATCAATCTATCACAACAACTTAACAAACAGCAACCATTTCTAGTGGGAGAGCAACATTACAACTAGCCTATACTGAATTGGAAGCTTCAAGCACACACATATATAACTACACACATACTAGTGCAGAGGGAAACAAAGTGAGACAAGGGAAAAGGAGGACAGATACACACAAAAGAACTATTCTTTTTTTTGTGCACTGATTGCAACTCTCTCTACTCGCATTGGTTTTGATGGCTTCTTTACCTGTATCTCCCAGAGGCGACATCTTTTCGAGTTACAGCAGAAGTGACACAGAGGAGCGCAAGAACAGGAGAAGAAATTGACAAAAGAGGATCAGGTATTCCGTGTTACAGCAGAGGGATGCTGGCATCCCAGCACTTAATTAAGTGCTGGCTTGGCACCATTTCACAAAATGTAGCTAAATGTACCATGGAAATCAGCAGGGGTGGGTGGAAGGAGGGCAGAGACATAGACACGCATACATGCACAAATGCACACTGTCTTTTTCGATCCAAGACACACCACTTACAGATTGAAGAATGAATTGTTCCATAAATGAAGTTCTATGTGAAATCTTTCTGTGCATCGCTTTGAGGAATTCACACAGTTACTAAAACAGTACAATCCTTTGTATGTATTATATGATAATACAGACCACACAGGAAAGGTTCTGAAAAGTACAATAATACTAAGTAATAAACCAGTAAGTCTGTCACTTTGGGATATATGCTGTGAGATTCCTTAAAAGAGATTAAATGAAATTATGTTCTTTGTGTTCCTGCCATCTTTTTGTCTTCTAATTGCACTAAATTGCATCATGATGGTGTTCTGTGATGTGAAAAAGCAGGAAATCCAACCACTCATATAAAACACTTTCAGCTTGAGGTAGGAATTACCTCTCCTTGGCAAGAATAAACAGCAAAGACTTCAGAGGGATTACACTGACATAGTTAAATACTGTAAGGCCAGCAGGCTCTGGGCAAACATCTAAATATGGCTAACATATTGATCAAGGTCACATAATAAAAAGACTAAACAGCTTCAGATGGGAGAAGCTTAGCTCTTGTGCAGTGACCAAATACACCAAAGTGTTTTTTTTTTTTTGTTAAACAAGTGAGCAGTGA